AGGAAGCATGAGACACTTTTGTTACACTCTTTTCGAAGAGGAATAATACAAAATTGTAACTTCTCAAGAATGAACTTCTATCAATGGCACAACGCGACATGGCGGTTTCCCAATACTTTCACAAGGTGAAGTCGATATGCCGCGAAATTTCAGAATTAGATCCGACAGCTGCTATTGGGGAATCCATGATAAAAAGAATAATTGTCCATGGGTTGAGACCTGAATATCGAGCGTTTGTTGCCGCTGTATAGGGATGACCAACACAACCATCGCTTGTTGAGTTCGAAAATTTGCTTGCAGGTCAAGAAGCCATGACCAAGCAAATGAGAGAAGTCTCGCTGAAGGGTGAAGAGGAAGCGCTCTACACCAGCAAAAGCAGAGGCAATTTTCAGCGGTATACTGGCAGTGGATCTAAAAACGATGGTGACAAGGTGAAAATTACCAAGGAAAGGGAGCCCCCATTCAGGGGGAGCTTCCAATAATCGCGGTAATAGTAGAAAGTTCGATGGCAAGTGTTACAATTGTGGAAGATGGGCCACATGACAAAAGACTGTTAGACCAAGAAAAAGCATGTTGAAAGTAATACTGCTACTTCTAGTTTGAAGGATAATAGTGAAGATGGTTGGGATGCTGAAGCGTTATTTTCTACGGAGGAAGAATAATTAACAATACCAGAACGAATTGACTACAAGAATGATTGGATCGTAGATTATGGCTGCTCAAATCATATGACGGGTGACAAACAGAAGTTGTAAAACCTGTCTGAGTACAATAGAGGTCATGTGGTAGTGACAGCTGATAACTCAAGGTTACCGATAACTCACATCGGTAAGATTATAGTTACGCCTCGATATAATACTAACCATGTGCAACTCCAAGATGTTTACCATGTCCCAGGAATGAAGAAAAATTTGCTATATGTGGCTTAACTAACATCATCAGACCATTATGTCTTATTTGGTCCCCAAGCCATGAAGGTTTATCGTGACGTCAAAATCTCATAAACACCAACAATGGAGGGACGACGTTTGGAGTCAATTTACGTAATGTCAGCAGAGTCTGCATATGTAGATAGGACAAGGAAAAATGAGACATCAGATCTATGACACATGCGGTTAGGTCACATTAACTATTCCAAGCTAAGTGTGATGGTGAAGAAGTCGATGGTTAAGGGGCTTCCTCAACTAGACGTGTGAACAGACACGGTCTGTGCAGGATACCAGTATGGTAAAGCATACCAATTGCCATATGACGAGTCGAAGTTTAAAGCAAAAGAACCGTTGGAGTCGATTCACTCTGATGTATTCGAACCAGTTAAGCAACAGTCAATTAGTGGTATGCGGTACATGGTAACATTCATTGATGATTTCTCCAGGTATGTGTGGGTTTTCTTTATAAAAGAAAAATCTGACACTATCTCAAAGTTTAAAGAGTTCAGAGACTCAGCTGAAGGAGAAGTGGGAAAGAGGATATGTTGCTTGCGCACAGACAACGGAGGAGAATATAGATCAAACGAGTTCTATCAATACCTAAGGGAATGCCAAATACGTCATCAATACAATTGTACCAACACACCACAACAGAATGAAAAAACTGGCATATTACAGAAATTTATCGAAGTATGCTACATGCAAATAATGTACCTGGAAGGTTTTGGGCTGAAGCAATGAGGACTGCAGCCTTTGTGATCAACAGACTTCCTCAACCAAGGTTAGGATTTGTTTCACCCTTTGAGAAACTATGAAACATAAAACCTACAGTTAGCTACTTTCGAGTATTTGGTTGTGTATGTTATGTGTTTGTTCCTGATCATTTACGGAGCAAATTTGACAAGAAAGTTGTTAGATGTATCTTTGTGGGATATGACAGCCAGAGAAAGGGGTAAAAATGTTATGATCCAATAAGCGGAATATGCTACACATCATGAAATGTGGTATTTGATGATGCGTCTTCATGGTGGTCCTCAGAGAAGGAGGTGTTGCCAGATTCGAGAGAATTTTGAGACAAACTACTACAAAAGATGGGGGAGCATGCTGTTCAACTCCAAACAAGTTCAGATGAATCAGAAGATTCAAATGGTGATGATGTTGAACAAAGAGTGACTCAGAATCCTTGGCAAACTGGTGTGTATCAACAACCAAATGAAGAAGGTGGGCCTAGTGAAACAGAAGAATCAATTCCACAATCTCAACTCCGATGGTCAACAAGAATACGAAGGTCAAATCCTAAATATGCCAATGCCGCTATAATTGAAGAAGTAACAGAGCTTGAGAGCTTCGAAGAAGCATCGCAGAGTTCTGAGTGGATGACAACTATGAAAGAAGAGATCGATGCACTTCAGCAAAATCAAACTTGGGATCTTGTGCCAAAGATAAAAAATGTGAAACCCATATCTTGCAAATGGGTTTACAAGATAAAGTGTCGTCCAGATGGGTTAATCAAGAGGTACAAGGCACGATTGGTAGCTCGTGGTTTCTCTCAACAGTATGGACTGGACTAACTAGACTATGAGAAACTTAGTCCAGTGGCAAAACTTAGAACCGTACGAGTCTACTTGCACTTGCAGCCAACAAATGCTTTTCTTCATGGAGAGCTAGATCTAGAGATCTACATGACCCAACCAATGGGTTTTCAGAGTCAAGATCATCCTGAGTATGTGTGTAAGCTGCGAAAAGCACTCTACGGATTGAAACCAGCACCTAGGGCATGTTATGGTAATATTGTTGAATTTCTAACAAAAAGTGGTTATTCAGTAACACCTGCAGATTCTAGCTTGTTTGTCAAAGTCAATGAAGGTAAGCTAGCTATCGTGCTAGTGTACGTGGATGACTTAATCATAACTGGTGATGATGAGGCAGAAATTCAGACAAAGGAGAATTTACCAGTTCGTTTCCAGATGAAGGAGCTTGGACAACTTAAGCACTTCCTTGGTCTAGAGGTTGATCGTACAAACGAAAGAATGTTTTTGTGTCAACATAAATATGCTAAAGATTTGTTGAAGAGGTTTGGAATGCTCGAATGCAAGTCAACTTCAACGCCAATGAAACCAAATGTTAAAATGTGTGCACATGAAGGAAAAGATTTGGAAGATGCAACAATGTATCGACAATTGGTAGGTAGTCTGATCCACTTAACTTTGACCTGACCTGACATTTCTTATGCAGTTGGTGTGATGAGTCGATATATGCAAAATCCAAAGAAGCCCCATTTGGAAGCAGTTTGACGAATACTGAGATATATGAAGACTACAATTGACTATAGTATTTTGTACAAGAAAGGTGAAGACTGCAAGATAGTTGGTTATTGTGATGTTGATTATGCAAGAGATCATGACACCAGGAGATCAACAACTGGGTATGTGTTTAACCTTGGCTCCGGAATAATTTCTTGGTGCAGCAAGAGACAACCAACGGTATCATTGTCAACCACTGAAGCTGAGTATCGAGCAGCAGCAATGGCAGCTCAAAATAGTACATGGTTGATACAGTTGATGAATAATCTACATCAACCAGTAGATTATGCAATTCCTTTGTACTGTGACAACCAATCGGCAATTCGGCTAGCGTAGAATCCTGTTTTTCATGCAAGAACTAAGCATGTGGAAGCACATTACCACTTTGTTAGGGAAAAAGTTTTTCATGCAATGTCATTGCTTACATCAATTTAGTTTTGATGTCATTGCTTACATTAATTTGGTTAGGTGAAAATTAAGTATTTTTCTCATGTTTTAATTTCAATAGTTTAGATTATTTAGTGTTTATTTTAATGAGTGGTTTAGATTGTTTCTTGTAACCTATAAATACCCTACTTGTATTTGAGTTTTATCATCCAACAATCAAAGCTTAATTTAAGCATTTGAAAGCTTTCTTAAGAGTTCTTCCCTTTTGCAATTTTGTGAGATTATTCTAAAGAGAGTTTTTTTTTCTTCTTCTCGATCAATTAGAGTTTTAACTCTATTTTGATTCAACAGATAATCGTAACTCTCTGCTTGGCTGCTCGATCTGTCTTTCCTCCCTTCGTTCTTATCCACCCTATTTATTACAAATTAATGCATCATGCAGTGCAGGTTCAATGTGTTTTTCATTTACTTTGCCTCTTAGCTATAAACATGCAAATGCATATTTTTTTTATGTTTAATAAAGCTAATATATTTAATCTGACTCTCACATTTTAAAAATGATATTACTAGTATTTATAACCAAACCTTATTCTATTAGTTTGGTTGGAACCCGTATTTACATTGATACGCAGCTTAAGTTTTTAATCGTATCGATTAGTAATTCATATGACAGCAGAAGCACCGATTTTTTAATTCATTAAAAATGATTTTTTCTTTTAAAAACGATTATGTTAAACACGGAATAAATATTCCGCAAAACGTAATGAATAGACTAGTGAGATAATAAGCATAGTCTAAGCAGACGGAAAGATTAAATGAAAAGTCAAAAAGGCAAAATCTTGCCAATTGAGAGAACCAATGGTAACAAATCTAAGAAGAATGGCAAATTTAATACTGCTGCATGCATGCATGCACGCACGTATTGGAACCCAACTGTCTTAATAACTCCATTCCCAAATTTCAAAGCAAACCATAAAGGCGTGAAGTTCAAGGCATTTTCTATTTTATCGCCAAAGAGAAAAGTCAAATTGACCATACTTGTAATAAACACTCGTTAAAATCACCTCTCACTTTCGTATGAATTCAATATGTAAAACTAATAACCAATGATAAGGGAAACATGAAGCAGCAATGAAGCAAGCTTTTTCATAGTTTTAGCTTTGCTTTTGTTCACCCAAAGTGGTACAGAGGCCAGGTCATATTCTCACCATAGTGGGCAGCAACAAGAGCTAAGAAGAAGAAGAAGAAGAGGCGGTGGGAGAAGAGGAGGAACATCATGTGACCCATTGTTTCAGTTCCTGTTCGGAACCTTTGGTCAATGGCCTTTCTCAACATCTGCCTCTCCGGACAACCCTTTTCTGCCTAGGCGAAGGCCTTCCCCTCATAGGAGATCTCCGCCATTGCCGTCGCCTTTACCACCTTTATTACCATCCCCTCCTCCATTAGTCTCATCACCACCACCCTTACTTCCTTTACCTTCCCCGGCACCGGTTACTTCTGCTCCACCACCTTCATCCTCACCGTCGTTGTCACCGCCTCCACCATTAGTTCCATCAACACCACCACCATTTGTATTTTCACCACCACCGCTAGTTCTTTCACCACCTCCAACGCCAATATTTCCATGACTAACTCCTCCGGTCACTCCATCTATTCCAGATTTATCACCACCACCAAACCCTTTCCTTCTGACAGAGCCTGATACGACACCAGAACCACCTCAGCTCCCAATATTTTCTCCTCTAGGCGATGAATTTACACCAATCCCGCCCGTATCCACCAACAGAGCCAAACTTGCCACCAGATGATGATTTTACACCAGCAACGTCACTCCCTTCCGTATTTGCTACTCCAAAGGAGCCTAGCATGCCTCCAGATGATGAGTTTACACCAACAACGCCTCTTCTTCCCGTATTTACTCCACCAGTCGAGTTTCAACCAACACCACCGTTTCTGCCCACAATTTTTTCACCGCCAGCACGAGATTTGTCGCCTGATGTGACTGTCCCAATATTTTCTTCACCACAACTTCCACCCTTTACATTTGCACCACCCATCGAATCAACTGGTCTACCAAATTTTTTTCTGCCAACTCCAGTAATCCCAACTATCCCTGAGCAGTCATTTCCATTTTCCTCCACTCCATCAGCACCAGATACCGGTTTCGTGCACCCAGAGTCACCTCCGCTATCTTTCTTACCATTAGTCCAGCTTCCTCCTTCATTTGATTCGCCTCCTTTTAAACATTAGATTCCTGTCTTGTGTTACACTGCATATGCTCTCAAAAATAAGGAGAAGATAGTTGATGGATGCTATTCTCGTGTTCAAAAGTTGTTTGTTTTTAGACTGTTTGCCTTTGTATTATTTTTCCTGTTTCTTGTATAATATGTGTTTATGTTTAATTAATACAAAAATGAAGTAAAATTTGTTTTGAGAAAGAAAGATGACCATGAAAACAAATCAATTCCTAAACGGAGATGGTTTTAAGGCTTAAATGGATTCTATCTCTAACTTAACTTTATAAAAGTTCAAGTATCACTTTTAATTATTAATCAGTTAAATATTCATTTAAAACACCATCCATCTTTAAAATCGAAAATTGTGGTGTTAAGTTTTCAAAATGAAAAAGAAAATGGTATTGTTAATGATAACATCTAAAACATTAAAATATTGTCCCGCTATAGTAGAAGTATAACGAGCAAGGTATCATTGGCAGATCGCCTTACGTATTGGACGTGAATGTATGGTGAGCAACCAACAATCGTCAGGCTTTCAGAAGGAAGCATCGAAATGTTATTGAAATGATTCTCCAACCAGCAAACAACACTAGCGGAATCACTCAGTAATAACTTGAAGAGAATCAAGTTAACCGCTAAGCGAATACCATAAATGATGGCATGCGTCTCCATAGCACCAGCATCAGTATCAGAATAGCACGACCAACAATTACAAGACCATTAGGCATCTCCAGTAATGAGTCCAATGGGCGGTGTACCGATGTCCATCGAATATGTCTCATCTACATTAATTTTGAAGCAACCAGGAGGAGGCTTTTTCTAGCAGGCGACTTGGAAGGAAGTGAGCGATGGACAAGGTGTCGGGGAAGATGAAGCTGCAACGTAGGCCGATTGAAGTGTCTTACCTAGGGGTGCACATTTCGGGTTAAGTTTTGGCCGATCCTATTCACTGTCCGAAACTCGATCCCATGGCTTTAGGTCTTTAGGGTGACTTCACTCGAGTTTCTTTTTTAATCTTAGATATATAAAATATAATTATATTATTTTTCAAATAATATCATGTCAGATTAAATATTTTTCATTCTAAATCTGTATCTCATCACACCCAAATATATCTTTTAAAAAAACTCAACTCCACTGAAACCTAAAACTAAAAAAAAAAATCCAATAAAATAAAATTGAATAAAAACTCATCAATTTTAAGTCCCATACTCGTCCCTAATCTTACCATTCACGAGCATATGCTATCCAAGAAAAACACGACTATCGTGCAAATTCAAACTAAAATAGTTTAAAATACTTTTTTTTGAAGCTAGGTTAGTCTTAGGGTAAATTATACCAGTTACTCCTCTTATTTTTACCATCAATCTTTTAATTTTGTTAATTAAATCATTAAACTATTTAATTGTTCTCAATTAAGCCACTTATAATTAATATTTAAAAAAATTAAGTGACATAATAGTTAAATATTTTGGTATAATCACACATTTGATCCATATTATTTACATATTGTCTTAATTTAGTCTTACTTTTAATAAATTAAAATAAATTTAATCCTCCAATCGAATTATACCACATGTCACCATCTGATTGAAAGAAAACAAAGCAAAGTAATTTGGGGTAAAATGGATTCAAACCTGAGACAATTGTGAAACCAAGCATGTACCCAACCATTAAGCCAATACCAATGTTTGATTACAAATAGACAATATGTTTTATATATTTTGTATCTTACTGTATATAGCGACAGATGCAAGGCTTATCCATGGTGGGCACGTGCCTACCCTTAAATTTGAATTTACTTATATTAGTTGTCTATTTTACTATTGGTGTCCGCCATGAAAATTTATTTGTATCCACCTTATAAGAAAACTTTCTATTATTAATATATACGAGCCCACCCTAAAAAATATCTCCAGATCCGCCAATAAATGTATAAATACTTAACTTAAATTCCTAATACTTTATATATATATATTAATTTTAAAAAAATATTGGTCAAATCCCTTTAGTCCCAAATTACTTTGCTTTATTTTATTTCAATCACAGGATGATATGTGGCAAGATATGTTTTTTGATTGGAAGATTAAATTTATTTTAATAATTAAAAATATGATTAAATTGAGATAATACATAAATAATACGGACCAAATGTGTGATTATACCAAAATATTTAACTGTCATGTCACCTAATTTACTAAATGTTAGTTGCAAGTGGCTTGATTGAGAATAATTAAATTGTTTAGTGTTTTGATTGAAAAATTAAAAAAACCGACAATAAAAATAAAAAGACTAAATAACTAAGTGATCAATATTATAATTTACCCTTTTTTATTACGACTTTAATTTATATTTATTTTGATGGTTTGATTTCAGGCGATTTATTTATTAATTGTAATTTTAAAACAATAAATAATGTATGTATAACTATTTAATTATGTATATTTAAAACATATGATCAGGAATAGTCTAAACAGTATTTTATAATATGATCTATTAACGTGTGACGGCATTATCTATATAATAATTCAAGTTTCGAAAATCCGGCTTAAATTTTTTTGTACCAGCATTTATCAAATTGTTTCTGATCTCAATTTCCTTTTGAATTTAAGTGGCTATGAATAATTTAATAAAAAAAAAAAGTGGCTATGAATAATGGACCGTTATGATTATGGAGCCTATGTATTGAAAAGACATATCACATATACCTTACCCTACCATCAGACAGTAACGTCAAGAATTCGAATTCAAATTCAAGCCTAAATATTAACACTTTTATATTATAATTGAGTGTGACGAAATTACTTTACCTTTTTTAATTTTGAAGGGAATTAATTTTCTTATATCAAGAAACAAATTTAATTGTCAAGCAATTCTCTTATTTTCTGGCTGGCCTCGCCTTTGCATATTCAATTTCTTCCCGATTAAATTGATCATGGAATTACCAGAAGAATGCTGGGAATCAATTTTCAGTTTCTTAGAACACCATCGCTACTCCGAACCTCTTTCTTTGGTGTGCAAAAGGTTTCTTTCCATTACCAGTCATCTCCGTCGCACTCTCACCATCACCGACCCAACCCTTGAATCCCTCCCCAATATCCTCCTCCGCTTTCCAAATCTCACCACCATCGTTTTCCGTGATTTCCACGGTAATCTCGACTCGGTTCTTTCATTGATCTCTCATCTGGGCTGCCCTTGAAATCCCTCGACATTTCCAGCCACAAGTGTTTCCCTTTACTGGGTTTGAAGCGCTTGGCTTCCAAGATGAGGAATTTGGTAGAATTGAAATGCTCCAACATTGGGTCTTTGAAAGACTCTGATTTGATTGAGATCGGAATTGTTTCCCTTCTCTCGAAGTGGTTGACATTAGCTATCCTGACCATGGATGTGGGTTTTCCCCGAACGGGTCATTGGATTCGAAGAGTGTTTCTGGTTTGCTTACCGATTATGGTATTCTTAGGTTGGCCTCGTCGCTCAAGAGTTTGCGCAAGATTGATCTCTCTGGTAATACCTTCATAACCGATCAAGCTCTTGTTACTTTATCGTCCAATTGTTTGTTCTTGACTGAAATTGGGATTCGTGATTGCGATTTCATTACCCAGAACGGAATTGCTTTGGCTCTTCGTAAAAGTGATAATTTGAAGTCGATTTTCATCAATGGAATTGGAATTCCTTCGATTGATGCATGTTTTTTGGATTCCTTTGCTTATGCCAGAAGTTTAAGCGAGCTTGATCTCTCCAATTCGTTTATATCTGATGAATTGTTGTGTTTAGTAGCTGAAGCTAACCTTCCATTGCACAAGCTTGTCTCTCTCGTTGCTTTTGTTTCACATTTGATGGGATTTGTTTTCTCTTGTCCAAGTATCCGTCTATTACATACTTGGATCTTGAAGGAGCAAATTTCCGGCTGAAATTGCTGTGAATCCTAGAGTAAGGCATTACATTTGGGTGGAATAACAATTTGAATGATGAATGCTTGAAAAATGGCTTCTAATGTTTGCCCCAACTTGGAAGTACTCGACGTTACCTACTGCCCATGTCTTACCGAAGAAGGCATCTTGCAGATTTTGAAGAACTGTTTGCAGATTAGATGTTTAGATAGTAAATGTCAGGGGTTAATAATCTTGAATTTGACTTTGAACTTCCTAAACTAGAGGTTTTGCAAGCCGAGGGGTTGGCTATTGATGACATACATTGGCTTCAATCGGAAGCATTGTGGACGGCTATCCCGTTTGAATTTGGAAGGTTGCTTGAATGTGACTGCCAAAGGAGTTGAAGGCGTGATATTGAACTGCAAAGCGTTGAAAAGATGAACTTGAGATGGTGTAACAATGTGAGTCTGGACATTGTAGCTTGGATGGTGCTTTCAAGGCAATCTTTAAGGAAAATTACACTGCCATGTGGTTCAGTTCCTACTGCAAACCAGAAGGATTTTTTCTTACGCCATGGATGTTTGGTTTGTCAAGGTTAGTTTTTCGACAAGTGGAGTTATGTTCAACTATTATATCTGTATATTACAAAAGAATTAAGTATCAAATTGCACAGTTAGATGATTGAAACTATGCGGGGGACTAGAATTGCATCACATATGAATAGTCATTTTCTATTTGCGTCGCAATTTAGGTGAGTTGTTAGGTAAATTGCAGAATGGAGCTTGCTATGAATTATGATACAGAAGAAATAAATTCATTTCATGTCACATTCTGTGTTTTAGCTAATCTGTTTGACTTGTTTGTAGTGGCCAGATGGATGGTTTGTCGTAACTACACCAATTCACTTCATATGATCCTCCAAGGATTCAATTATAAAAGAAGCTAATCATATGCAGCACGGATATCTTATCTAACATTCTGGCCATGACAAAAAAATTGCATGAAGGTTCAAGTATTTCTGCAGAAGAAATTGTCCAATTATCCATCTTTATCTTCTTATTCAAAATATTTTCACTGGTTTCAGTTTTTCACTGTAATATTTGTTATAACATGAATACATACAAGGAGATTGAAGATGGTCGCAATGTTAATTTATGAATTAAGTATTGGTTATGAAAAAAGAAATTATATCCTTGGATTTAGACTATTATTTAAATATAATAACTATATAAATGGTTAAAGTATGATTATGTTTTGTTTTCAGCATTGAAGTTTTTTGAAGTAACGAGATGATAATTAACATTATCATTTTATTACAAATCGGTCACTTAATTGTTAACCTTCATTAGTTGGGTCACAGCAATCTGTTGTGGTAATTAGACAAACTGATATAGACTTAAATTATTTAAAGAATTATAACTCAATTTTATTGAGCAATTGAAGATGAGGCTCTCACATATGTATTAGTTTTTTTTACCTTTTTGTCCTTTCAAAATTCTTTAATCTTGTGTTTTTTCAATTGCTTTTGACATGTATAGCATGTGTTATTTATTTGGACACAGTGATGGACCTAAGCAGACACGGGTGAGGTAGCCATCTTCCTTGAAAATTTAAAATTATCATATATTTTAAATTTTTTATGTGTTTTTTTATTTTCGTTCCACTATAATTTTATAAGTTTAAGTTTACCCCTTAGAATTTTATAAGTTTAAGTTTACCCCTTAGAATTTTTTAAGTTTAAGTTTGTCCCCGGCATAAATTCATATTTCCGTCCTTGTTTGGAGATATTTTCCAACGTAGTATTATTTTTAACCAAGACATTGAATTTTATTAAATGAAAAGAGAAAATAAACATAGCACACCCTAACTTACAAACAATTTAAGAAATATAATCAATAAAACTCACGAAAATATAAAGTTTAAACATAAAACTCAAGATGGCACACAAACATGAAAAGCAAGTCAAAATTTTCCCTTAAATTCTTCTACGAGCTTTCATAAAATACATTTTTCAATGAAGTCTCTCTGCCTTTACTCAACTAAACGCAAGAAAAAAAAATATAAAAAATATAAGAAGCGTGGAGAACACGGATGAACAACAAACTATGGTGGTGGATACAACCATGGAAGGAATAAAATCTAATGACGGTGTCCAAGATATGAATGGAGATCATAAGGGGCATGAACGTAACCGATTAGGGGAACGGAAGGCGTCTTATGCATCAATTACTGCAAAGCATTTTGCGACGAAAACTAAGAGAAACTTTGGTGAAGGCTTTGACTTGGACAACATAATTGTTTCGGATGAGGATTGCATGGTTGGTGATTCGGGTCTCTTTCCGAAAATTTCTTTCTCCAAAAAAGTCCATGAACAGATTGACATCAGCATGAGTAACACAATTATTGTTCATCTTCTTGGTCGAACTATAGGATTCAACACATTATTGTCCCATATCCATGCTTTGTGGAAACCGATTGGAGAGCTTCAGTTAGTTGATCTGGACAATAACTACTTTCTAGTTAGATTTGAAGATGAAAGAGACTTCGCTAATGTTCTTACGGAAGGCCCTTGGACGATTTATGGAAACTACTTAATGATGCAACCTTGGAGTAGAGCCTTTTCCACGTCCGAAAAGCATCCATCGAAGGTTATAGTATGGGTTAAACTTCCAGTCTCCCCTATCGGTATTATTGTAAGGCTCTTTTTCGACATATTGCTTTGGTTGTGGGGAATGTAATCAAGATTGATTACAACACTCAAGCCGGCGTACGTGGAAAGTTTGCTCGTATGGCGATAATGGTTGATTTAAACAAGCCGTAACGATCATGTATCGGAATAGATGATTTTGTGCAAAAAATAGAATATGAGGGTCTTAATCATATATGCTTTGGTTTCGGAATCTATGGATATTCAAAGGAGACTTGCAGTAAAGCAGAGAATCCTACTGGGAGTCGAACACTCTGGCAACCTCGCCCGTGGCTACCCAACTGTCGCTAATGAGGAGGGCGAATTGTATAGCCAATGAATGATTGTTCCGAGTCGACGACGCAAAACTACTGTTAGCAAAGGAAGTAATAATGGACCTCAGGTTGGACAAAACTCAGGCTCTAGGTTTGCTGCTCTCGATGCTAATGAAAAAAGTGTGGAAACAGTGATCCCGAACCAGCATAGAAAGATTGTTTTTGATCTTGGAACGCATGCAGATGGTGAACCCGCGTCATCGTGGTGACAAGGACGAAAGTAAAGATGAACCACATAGATAACGAAAGAATCAGGGCCTCAGAGGAAGAAGAACGCAAGAAAAGAAGTCGGAGCCGTTGTCTACTACTAGTATGTTTTAGAAGCTCGTCAAGATTGGAAGCAGAGAAAATGAAATTACGAGGAAGATGAGGATGTTAATGATGATATCCTAACAGTTAAGATCTCATTTTATTAGTTGACAGTTGAAAGGATAAAATAAATCATCTAATTTTTCATCTTACCATATTGGTTAAGGGCTTTGTTCGTATTAATTTCTTTGTCTAGGTGCGAATTGGCTTAGGCCTAATGAATGCATGAACAATAAAGTAAGGAAACCGGAACATAATCAAACTAAAAAATCTATTGGAATTAGTGAAATATTACTTCAACCATTAAATGGAAGTATGGAAGAATATTTTTCTTTATTACATTGATACTGAAAAAAGAACCTGCTGCTGCTATGAAGGCCGTCCTTACATTGCCACTCTGTTATTACAGAAACAACTAATAAAGAAAAAAGACATTGGATATTGCTAATTTCCAATCTTCAGCCATTGCATTTCTCACACCGTGTAGTTCTGATTGATGGTCTCAATGTCGAGTCCTTTGAGTTTCACAACTGAGTCGACATGGCCTTTCAGCGTGTGAAGCTCCCTCAACCTAGTAAACCCAGACTAAAATGTTATAACAAGATTGTTCATTTTAATGAAATGAAATAGTGAAACAACATATTATCGTCACCTTGCGACTTCAGCGCGTTTCTTGGCTTGTTCGGCAATCTCCGATAACTCTCGGTAGCTGCTCTTGTCATTCAAGATTTCTTCAGTTCCAGGAGCCTGCAGTCCGTGAAGGGTACGTTGCGCCGTGGCCCATTGTGCCTCCCTCTCTTCCCTTCCATAATCCTTCTTTGTTGTGAAAGCAGTCTATGTATGATGTGTGCAAATATCAGTATGTTACCTTGTTCATTGTTTCAGTTTCCGTTCAAGGAAGATTTTGCGTACCTTGTTCTGAAGAAGATTATCCCATGCCTTTCCGCTTAATGCATATCGGGTTATGAACTTGAGAACATCGAGTGGGAAGTAGAACACTAAACTGTAGAGCCAAATGACACCAGCCCAACCCCATCCAATGCCTTTGATTCTAGCGAATTCCCAGTTAGCATAAACAGCAAGCACAGTAGCCACCTTAGAAAGTCGAACAACGGGCAAGAAACAAATCAGTAAGTTTGTTATTGTATATCAAATTTTGCAGTGATGTCAAGCGGTACGGAACTCACCAGTTGTGCAAGAAGGAAGGCAAACACTAGCAAGAGACCGGGGCGCTCGATAAAGGACCAGCTCCGAGAACGAGTGACAAAGATGAGTGCCTGGCTCACAATACTCACTTGGAGATAAACAGCAGCTGTAAGTTCATCTATATTGTACCGAATGGATTTTACCCCAAACTTCTCCTGCAATCAATGATCGACCTTTAATACTTGTTTTGTCGTTCACAGTATGGTGTTAAGGAAAATGTAAGGAGTATTTTTCTTACCGAAAAGAAATCGGATTCATTAGCAAGCCAGAAGAAAACAACGGTCATGCAAGCAAGATAGGTTCCAAGGACAACGCCAGTGGCAAAGATCTCCCTGAGCTTCCATGAGTCGGGCATTGGAGATGGCTTAACCCTGTCCTTGGAGATGGTCATAATAGTTCCATCGTTGAGTATAGCAATGATCAATACCATGAAAGGGGAGAAATCAAATTTCCAAATAAGAGCAAGTAGCATGAAACCAAGCACGATACGGACAGTGATGGAG